ACATAAAAAAAGAAACATGATTGATCATAATCCAATTTTTAATTAAACTATACCCAGATGAATGATTTTGATATTTTATTTAAATTTGGTTATAAATCTTTAAGGTATTAGTTGAGATATAAAAGTCTCACGAGGGGGATTCGAACTCACGACGCCGCTCTCTACCACTTGAACTATCGTGACTTCAATCCAGTGGCAACGGGGGGCTGTTAGTAAAGTTATACGCCATTTTACTTACTAAATCCATTAGATTTCGTGGTCCGATTGACCAAATAACATCTTTCAATTAATGGAAAAAGACAGGCACGAGCGGGACTCGAACCCACGACCTTTCGCTCAATACGCCGCCGCTCTAACCACTTGAGCTCTCGTGACTTCGATCTACTCGGACATCAAATCTCCATGTCAACCTACAACCGTTCGAATTTTACCGCTTTTTGCCATTTTCAAATGTGTAATCGGGATTCGATTCTCAGCAACTTATGGAGTGTCCACGGGAGCTGTTAGAGAAGAGATACTTCTTTTTCTTATTAAACATCAATCCATTTTCGTTTTAGTGGTGAATTGGCCAAGTTACCTCTTTCAATTAAATATTCTTTTTATATAAGGTTTTGGTCAAAATAAAAAGATCCTAGAGGATCAAAGCCACCATAGCTTAAGTGGTAGAGCCGCGGAGTATTTAGCCGAAGGTCTTGGATTCTAATCCCGCTCGTGACACTAACTTTTTTATCTCAACTAAAAACCTTACATAAAAAATAATACTTTTTTTTTATCTTTTCTTAGTTTTGTACAATCACAAATAGGTATAAATACTCTAAACAAAAATAATTTATGAATCTAACTTCAAACGTGCATTTCATAGACAGTATAAATTTACACTAAGTTATAGTGACTATAAGCAGTATTCGGACATAAGAGAGAAGTGTAAATTCTTAACAAACAAGTCCATTCTGACTATATCAATAATTAAATAGATAGTTAAATTAAAAATATAGATAATAAATAATATAAAAATATAATAATATATATTTATTAAACACATTTCTCTCGTCCGATAACTTCAAAATAGCTTTCAAAAATTATAAAACAATCCAAACACTTTTTCCATAATTAAAAAGCCCACACCAATAACCAATAAATCTGACGTAATCTACAAGATCAACTGTTTAAACTGTCCGGCAACTTACATCGGTCTTACATCCCAATATCTCGACAAAAGAGTAAAGCAACATATCTATGATTGCAAAAAACCCAAGCAAAATCCTACAGCACTCGCTACCCACCATTTTGAACACCAATACAATTTCGACTTCAAAAATCCAAAAATATTACATACAGAACAAAACAAACATAAACGTAATTTCTTAGAAATGGTTTATATCAACAGAGATAAACACAGTATCAATTACAGAACAGATACATGTAAACTCAGTCGCAGATACGCCAATATCATTAATCACATTCAATACAGATAACATACCTATATCATCACATTACATTCCACACATCAAATATATTTCATAGTCTAATTGTCCAACAATTCAGCTTTTCTTTTCCTATTTATCCCTTTCTATATAATCCTGAAAGGATAATCTGACCGAACCATTACCAACACATTGTTTCCCTTCGTCGGCTCTTTACACCTCAAAAAAGCAGACGCCTTATACAAAAATGTCTTTTCTATACCGACATCCTTCCCCACCCCTTCAAAATTCCACGTATATAAACATAAAACAGCAAAATCTCACTGGCACTCTCAACACGACACGCAAGACAAGACACAATTACACAGAAGACAAACACTTTGAGTGAGTAGAAACTTTGATTGAATATATAATATATTTTGCATTGTATAAATTCACTTTTCCACATCCTAAATGTATTTGTTAATTGTAAACAATGTTTGTAAATCCCAGGCCCTGAAGAATAAAGATCGAAACGTTGGCACGATAAAGAAAATGTTTTTCCGAAACCTATATCACACCAGACCGCATCTCACGATTTCTGAATAATTAAAAATATAATTAGTTTCAATAATTAATAAAGTCAATTGTGATTATTAAAGACAAACACAACCGTGAAACAAACCCTCACAGGAAACAAACATGACACCACATGATTGTGAGTATGAAATATTTGAAGATATGATGTACGTAGAGATCATTAGACGGGTGAAAAAAAAAAACTAAATGCTGGGTTCACCGAGCTTTCGGCTTTTTATAGTGCCATCATCAGGGCCTATTTTATTACAAATTCAAATAAATACAAATTAACATACAATTAACGTAATTAATGTTTGTTAATTGTATGTTACTTTGTATTTATTTGAATTTGTAATAAAATAGGCCTGATTATGGCACTATAAGATGCCGAAAGTTCGACGAAACCAGCATTTAGTCTTTTTTTCTCCCCTCTAATGAGCGCTACGAAGATTAGGACCCTACATGAAATATTTGGTCCAAAATTTATATTATATTTAAATCTGTATTCTATAAGTATTTTTTCCCAAACAACGTATGTTTTGTAGTTCGCTGAAGATGACCCGAATAAATGCCGAAACGTCGGCAAAAATTATCTGAATTCAGAGGAAGTGGGTGCGGTGAGTGCAAGTCTCTTCAACAACGTGAATGTAGACATGTAAATTTTCCGTCATACAGTCCTCCACTTTTTTCTCCAGTCTTTGATAAACTGAAGATATTGTTGAATAAAATTTCAAAAAATAAATAAATGAAATGTGTGTTTTTATACGGCGGTACGCGCTGTGCGTTGTAAATTTGTCATAGTAAATGTACTTAATTTTTTTTAAAGCCTTAGTCTGTTTTATTGATAATGAATTATCACTTTTACAATTCATAAGTCCCGTCGGTAGTTATCGCTATGGGGTCTGTACGATAATCGCAATTTCATTTTTCCCTACGCTCATAATTGCGTGTTTGCTCAACATAATTCCTCTCGTTTCTACCAGCAGTCCGTTTGCACACTTACCTTATCGAACCTGAATGTATGAAAAAACGAAAACAAACAAGCATATATCAAGGCTTGTAATGTTTTAGCTTTCTGCTTTTATTAGATGCTTTCTCCAATTTCATTTAAATTTCAAATGAGCTCATTAGCTAGATTTTCCACGTTTATCAATGTTAGAAAAAAAAACCTTCCCGACTTCGTAAAAAATGTATATTGTTATTTATTTCATGAAAGGATGACCCGTAAACTTTTTTACAATCCTTTTAGTAAGCGATTAGGGGAGAGTGGGCTAGACTGAACCCTGGGAGAAATCCAGGCCCAGCCATCCTATATCTTAAGTGATATGCACTTGGCTCAGTAAAAAAAAGAAGGCTGAGTTAAAAGCCTTAAAAATAGATAAGAAAACGCGCACATGTCTGTGTTAATATATTTGACGGAACAACTGCGCCTTTTTGTACATTATCAGAAACATCGATAAGTATATTTATCAAACAAAAGGTTGTTCTTAAAATACTAGCTAGAAATATCATAATCGTTGCATTTGATTAGTTTCGACTTATTTACCAACTAACTACTTTTTAAAGTTAAATAGAAAGAAAATTAAAAATTATTGTATTATACAGATTGAAAATATTTTCATCTTTCTATATTCAGCTTGGACTTTACTTTTATTGGTCGTGAACAAAATGAAGAGTGAGAGAAAATAAAGGAGGTTCTACTGACCAGAGTATTATCTAAATTTAACTATTTAATGTTTACTTACTTTTTCGTCTTAATTTGAAAACTTGCTGGTAAGCACAAGATGGTTACATTGAAACTTGAGGAGAAAGCTTAACAAAAAAGCACGTCGTATTGGATCTTCTTGAGGTTATTTTACAGGTGAATAAAGAACATCACTATTGGGTTTCACCAAGCTTTTGGCGATTGGCAACACATGCGACGGAAAGTGGTCATTTCTTCATGTTGGACTCCTCTGGGATCCTGGGCAGAGAGTTGAACTTGGAGAGACGACTACTTTTGGAAAAAGTCTTTGTTCATGTTACGAAAAACACTTGTAATTTACAAATGGATCGACTGGGCTCCATCATGGCATATTCGGAAATCCTGCAACTGTTCATGAATCGAAATAAAGGGCAAAGTGACGTCGGTGTGTATAATCACACCGGGAATGATAACAGGGATTTTCTCTTACCATGGTATAACCGACCGATGTGTGTTCTCAATTTTCTTCAAATCCTTGTACATAGTTGTATATAGTTAAATTAAAATTTTAAGTTAAAAAACAGTAAAAAAGTTGTATATATATAATGTATCTGTGATAAAGAAATACATTTACCTGAGATTTAGTGTTAACTTATGAAAAACTGAAACCAAAGGATGACCGATGAGGGTCACTCGACTTTAAGCAAGACCGTTTTTGTTTTTTAGTATATAGATTCATTTTCACCTTCACTTCAAAAAAACAACAAACATGTGCAATAAATTGAATTTTCCTAACAACTGGGTTAAGTACGTAATTGTATTGTTATAATGTATTTATATAAGATGTGTTATGTAACTCTGTTCGTTGGCCTGATGATGGCGGAACATTCGCCGAAAGCTTGGTGAAAACCAATAGTGATGTTGTTTATTTGCCTGTAAGATGACCTCAAGAAGATCCAATACAACATCAGTTTAAACTACGTAGGTCGATCAACGTCAACTAGGAAAAAGCATGTGGCATAAGCGTCATTAACTAGAACTGACGTAGCGTTAATCTAGCCGATATTCGTCCAAAAACCGATCTTGCAGGCGGTTGCACGTACTCAGTACTGCGCAGGCGCCAAATTTATGTTGTGAATCGTATTCAGCGCAAATATTTGTAGATGTGGATTCGATTTATTATAAAAGAAAAAGTTTGATTGCTCAGAAAGCTCACTTGAATGTATTGCATGCGTGTCCTGTTGTGCCTGGTTATTCTATCATCGTGAACATATTTTCTGGCCTTTTTGAACGTTTGCATTTGTGGTAGTTTTATGCGAGTGTCATGTTACTGAATGGACAAAAGGGGTGATAACAAAGATGATTGCGAACATTTCTTACGGAATCGGTTACGCAAGGATAACTCGACAGGTATATTACGAGAAAATATCGCGGGAGTGCTTCAGTGGGACACGTGGACCAGTGAAATGAAGACAGGCCTTTTGCTTGTGGTTTTCATTGTTCATGCCTCGGGTGAAAACGCCGGTGAAAAAGATAAACGCAGTCTGTCCGATTTCGTCGACTCGAGTGGGTACTACGGCGCCAGAACTATCACTTTTATTAAAGAGATACCGCAGCCGTATCCTGTAGCTGTCGAGAAGAAGGTTCCGTACCCGGTGCATGTTCCAGTCGATAGACCTATAGCTGTTCACGTACCTCGGCCGTACCCGGTAACCGTGGAAAAACAAGTTCCCTATCCCGTCAAGGTACCCGTACCGCGGCCTTATCCAGTCGAAAAGACGGTCCACGTCCCGGTAAAGGTTCACGTCGATGTTCCAAGACCATTTCCCGTTATCAAACCTGTTCCGGTTTACATCGAAAAAAAAGTGCCTGTACCTTTCGTAAAGCACGTACCTGTCCCGGTCAAAATTCCCTACGATGTGCCTAAGCCGTACCACGTATCCGTCCCAGTGGAGAAGAAGGTCCCGTATTACGTCGAGAAACCTGTGCCATACGGCGTTCAAGAACCCATCGATAAGCCTTACAAAGTCATCGTCCCAAAGCCGTACCCAGTTACTATCGAAAAGCCTTACCCGGTGAACATCGTGAAAAAAGTCCCCTATGAAGTTAAAGTGCCTCAATACGTCCAAGTGCCTGTTCCAGTGTATGTAAAAAAGCACGTTCCCGTCCACGTCCCAGTGCACAAAAAACATTATTAATAAAATGGTACATCATGGTATACATTAACCATATACATCAAATTATATAACTATATAAATTAAATTGTGATAAAATAATCAAATATATTTTTTGGAAGTACAATTTAGTATATAATTTTTTTTACCAAAACCTCTGAAAATCTGCTTTAAACAAAATCGTGACATAGTTCGACTTCTCTTATTTCCATAATTTTTAAATATAATTTGTTATTGTAGATTAAAGCAGTACATTCAGTAAGATATCCTAACGTCGAACAATTCTTTCTTTCTTCCTTTTTTTCTTTTTTTATGTTGTATGTACACTAGCCTATGGAGAAAAGGGTGATTGACTGACCAGTGTTTGAGAGCATGCTTTTCTGATTAAAAAAGTAAACAGTGGCCTTTGGATTTAAAAAAAATTATTTATTATTTACTTTTTTTGTTTACCTAATACAGTTGTTTTAATTACAAAAGTAAAAACATGCATTAGTGCAGGTAAATCGTATGTAAATTGAAATAATTGCATGCAAATCGTTGTGGTGAATTGAAGAATATCCCTGTAATTATTATTTAACTTAATAATGTTCATGCAAAACAAGCTAAATAAATAATTCTAATAAATAACTTCTTCTTTTTTACGGCTAGGGCCACCCTCGACCATGCTTTTGATATGTAGGAGCTTTTCTGCCGATCGGAAAACCGTCTCTGCTATTTCTTTTGGATTATGTTTTTATTGAATTTTTAGCGTCAAAGGACAGGATCGCGGTGGACAGATGTGGTTGTTTAGCGGGTATCCTAAGCATATTAATTATTTATTAGCTATACAAACATTTTAAAAAAGATAAAGGAATGTAATGAATAAATAATTATTTGGAGATCGTGAGGTGCGGTCTGGTGTGACGTTGGTCTTAGAAAATCATTTTTTTATCGTCCCAACGTTTCGATCTTTATTGACATCATCTTCAGAGCTCAATAAAGATCGAAACTAATTATTCAGAAATCGTGAGATGCGGTCTGGTGTGATGTAGGTTTCAAAAAAACATTTTCTTTATCGTGCCAAAGTTTCGATCTTTCTTGAGATCATCTTCAGGGCTCAATAAAGATCGAAACTAATTATTCAAAAATCGTGAGATGCGGTCTGGTGTGATGTAGGTTTCAGACAAATATTTTCTTTATCGTGCCAACGTTTCGATCTTTATTGAGATGTATTATTTTTTATCCTACATGTATTTGTTAAATGTAAACAATGTTTGTAAATCCCAGGCCATGAAGATGATCTCAATAAAGATCGAAACTTTGGCACGATAAAGAAAAGGTTATTCTGAAACCTACATTACACCAGACCGCATCTCACGATTTCTGAATAATTATCGATTAACGGTCACTAACCACCACACAAAGATCGAAAAGTTGGAACGATAAAAAAATTTTTTTTTTCTAAAACCTTCGTCACGCCAGAATGCATCTCACGATCTCCAAATAATCATTAATTAACGTTAACTAAACACCGCACACGTAACGAATAAAACCGAAGATCGTTGGATCGAGTCTCATCGGTGACACATCTTTCTCTTTTCTATATCTTTTTCACCTTAAATTTTGTTGTTTAACAAACCATAAAATGTAAAAATAGTGATAATTAAGTAATTTGTCAAAAAACGAACCAATAAATTTCTATTTAAAATATTGCAAACCAAAACCAAGTTTATGTGTTTTTATTGTAATCAAAATTTATACATTTAAATGTAAGTTCATCTATTTTTCCTTAGATACATTAAAGGTTTTCACAAAACATGTGCTAATTGTGATATTTTGGAACTAACAGCACATATGTAGTTAGCACAGTCTTGAGTCTGTTAACCGGTGTTTGCCATGTGCTTTTTTTTCAAAATCCTTTTAATGTTTACTTTCCACGTGTGTTACTCAAAATTCTGTTCACTTACATTAACTGATATTATTTTTATAGCACATTCAATAGAATGTGCCTTCTTATTAATCAAATTAAAAAACAGCGAAGAATGCCGGTCACGTGTCCAATCATCTACGCATCTCTCACTTTACAAGGAGGTACAAATTTCTCCTGCATTGTTCGACCTGTATGAAGATAATTTTGACGGGCTTTGTCTCAATGAGTTGCGATAGCTATTTAAGCTAAGAAGTGAGGTTTTGCACTTAAACTTCGGCTGTTTGGATTAGAGGGGGTTCTTCGTGTAATTCGCGTTCTATTGAAACTGTATCCCACTTCTTGGCGGAGTGCTGAACCCTGGGTGAGATTCGGTTATTGCATCTCTGATGTTTCACTCTCCCCTGAGTTGCCCTGTTATGGTTTTTGAGTGGCTCAAATTCTCGTCCCTTAATTCGTTACGCAAGGCTCTGGAACTACAGATCATAGAGTTAATTAAGGAGTTTAATTTTTGATTTGTATTGTATAACATTAATAACTTCTTTCAATTAATTTATCTTTATTTAAGGTATTGGTTGAAATGAAAAAGTTAGTGTCACGAGCGCGATTCGAACCCACGACTTTCGGCCCACGATAGCTCAAGTGGTTAGAGCGGCGGCGTATTGATCCGAAGGTCCTGAGTTCGAATCCCGCTCGTGACACTAACTTTTTCATTTCAACCAAAACTTTCCATAAAGATTAATTAATTGATTAAAAATATTGTAATTAAAACAATTTAAAAAAATGTTGAAACTATAAAATAATGTAAATGTTAAAAGACAACATTGTTGAAAATTTATGAAAAAAAATATTATTAAGAACGGTATTAAAATAAAAGAAGTGAAACAAATAATTCACGAACACTCTAGATCAAACTATAGTCTTGAAGAAATAAAAAATTCATTTGTTATTGTCAAGCTTTCGGCCTATATATTTTAAGGTCATCATCAGGAACTTTTTCTTCCTTTCTTTTTTTACGAGGGTTCGCAACAGTAGAGATCAATCACATAAACCCTCGGGGTTTTTAAAAAAAGCTCATTTGTAAGTATGTCGCGTTCAAATGCAGGACCGCTGGATTCGAACCCGGGACCTTTACCTTACAGTGATGAGCGCCTTAACATCAAAACTTTCTATCTTAGGTTAGCTAATCCCTTCTGAGTGCTATACAGTTCGGACTCCAAACATCAGTCATAAAATAATTTGTCCTATTGCCATCCAAAGCTTTAATTGATGCTTTTAAAATTCTTAATTTGGAAGGCCACATGTATGCATAAATCCTATTTTAAATTACATATAAAATTTATTCCTGTTTTTTAATTATATTTTCAAATTTTTCTTCCATAATTTAAACATTTCCCAAAGGCTTGTATGGCTAATATATTTTTTTTTTAGCTAACTTTCTTATTTAAATTGCGATTTTGGGCAAGGCAGTTTATAACCCCGCAATATTTCATTTTTCCTAAAAAAAATTCCTAAAAAAATGCAATCGTACACGCACAACTCTCATTCAAACATTAGCAGAAAACATTCAATGGTACAACAATTTGGGAAAAGGCTTAAATCTCATTATAAATTCCAATAAATTTTAGCAAGCTGAAAAGTGTTCTTCGAAAGAAACACTGGGGACCCAGTAACTCCCAAAACAGTTGTTATTTCTCTTTTCTTTCAATGTATTGCCTAGGCTATAATTATTATTTTACTTTATTGTGTATTTTTTTAGTTTCTGCTTGTTTAACGAACGACCCCTGGCAGATGGATCCAAGATCCATGTCCTTAAATGCTTTGAAATTACAAATGTAATTTTTTTTAATTCATAAAACAATATGATTATTTTCAATTAATCAATCTTTAAGTAAGGTATTGGTCGAGATAAAAAAGTCACGATAACTCGAAGTCACGTTAGTTCAAGTGGTAGAGCAGCGGCGTATTTAGTCGAAGGTCGTGGGTTCGAATCCCGCTCTTGACACTGACTTTTTATCTCGACCAATACCTTACTTAAAGATTGATTAATTGAAAAGAATTTAATTGGTCAATCGGATCTCGAAATCTAATCGAATTATTATTGTTGTTATTATTATTATATTATTACGGTTTACAACTACATAAAAAGAAACATTATTTAATGTTGAGTTTAATTCCTAATTCGTTTAATTTAGTTTCTGTTAATATTATTACGATATTTATTGACACCGTAAATATTTTTGCTCTCTTACTCAGTCAATATAAAGTTATTGTTTTATAATTTAGTGGGGTTCTGAAGAAAACAAGACGCTCAGAACGTACATCCGACCGGTCTATTTCAGAGCTATGGAGTGAAAGAGGGGACTACTATTAGTAGGTGAAATGTAGCAAAGACGTCTTTCATGTGGTAGAGCCGAGTGATGTATGCCCTTCTTCCGTCATCAATTAGCCACAAACCTAGGTAAAACATAAGCTAAACTGGAGATGAAAAATGCCGCTCGGCTATTTTTTAAAGGCAACCCTCTGGAATATTACTGGAGATTTTTTATCTCCAACTTTGCCTTGTACTCCAATTGTAATAGGGCCTAATGAGACCGAAACCCTTTCAGACGGGAAACCCAATTCGTTTCCTACTAAATCATTGATGCTGTCACGTTTGAAACAAGAAACCCCGGCTTCTTAAATGTAATATTATATCTATCATCCAATCTTTCAGAAATGCTTTATCAAAGAAACAACTCATATATGTATATTTACCAACATACCACAACACCCACAGATAATTTTTAGCTGATTACAAGGTATTCCAAAAAATATTTAATTTTTATTTGTTTTTATTGGGCAAAACTTATATGAACATTTTGTTCATTTTCTTAATGTATCGATTTTATTGTAAACAACTATTTCACTAAGGGCATTTTTGTGTTTTTTGTCTTTGGATATTCAGCTAAGTTTCATTTATTCTTCATTTTCTTACGTATGCTTTCGACGCTACTTAAAAATAAAATCGCCCAAATCTCGATTTTTAACAAGTAGGCTTACCTAAACTCAAAAATAATTTCGTTTGACTAACAAAATTGATTAAAATTTATAATACATTTTTGAAAGAAATGCTGGG